ATACACTGACAGTAATGGTTTCTACCAAAAAGCTGTTGGGGGCTATGGGTATCTGAGGCTTGTTTAAAAGGTTCAAAAACTACCTGTTAATATGAGAGATAATAATGGCTTCAGAGCAACCACTTCAAAATTTCCCCATAAACACTATGTACTTAAGATCTTGCAAAATTGGTCTCAACCCAGGACTGTTGCACAGAGGTCAATTATAGGAGGGAAACTCATCTCTAAAACTTTCTGGAGAGTCCTATAGGGACACAGCAATGGCGATTTCAATGACCCTCCACCCTGGATCCTGGAAAGTTATGGTGACTCCTCAGATAAACTGTGAAATGGCCAAGAAGCCACATCTTCACAATAGAATGCCTTGGTTTCAAAGAGCTGCAGCTCTGACTCCTTCTATCTTAAAGGCAAAGCTTTTGCTATCAGTTTCCTACAGGATGTTCTCGTCTTTCTAGATTCTATTCTTGGCCTATCTCATTCTGTACCATGATGCATTGCATTTCAGCTTCCAAGCAAAAGGAAGAGTTTTCAGGAACTGGGGAACTGTTTGGGGAATCAGAAAGTATGTTCTTTTGATTTCTCAGTCTAGTATGAGCTATGCAGGAACCCAGCTGTGGGTTATGGGTTCTAGGAGACCTGGAGGAGGTGAGCACAGCAACTCACCTCAGGTGCATCCTGGGGCTTCGAGGCACTCTCTTTCTCCTTCTTGCTCTTAGGCATTTCATGTTTCATGCGTTTGGTTCCTGATACTTTTGTTTTATTCTCACTTTCCTGTGAACTGTTCTCCTGTTTCCGAGGTTTGATTGGAGGCAAAGGCTTATCTTCCTCTCCCTTAATAAACCTTTCATATGGTAGAATTAATCTAACAGAAGAGAAAAAGAGATGATAAGTCAGTTGGCCAATTCCAGTCATATCAACACTATGAAAGTTTTCTTTCTTTTCTCAGTAGAGTTGCTCCCCTTATCAGCAGGGGATGTGTTCCAAGACCCACAGTGGATGCCTGTGATAGTACCAAACTCTCTCTCTCTCTCTATACATACACTATATTTTTCCTACACATACATACCTGATATTTTAATTTATAACCTAGACATAGTAAGAGATTAACCACCATAAAGAATAAGAAAATAAAACAATTATAACAATATACTAGATAAAAGTTAGGTAAATGTGGTCCCTTTCTCTTGAACGAGTCAAGACAAATATTTTCCGACTGTGGTGGACCTTGGGTAACTGAAACCATGGAAAGCAAAACCACGGAAAAAAGGAGGACTACTGTAGGAGCAACTTGTTGAATGACTTCATTGCCAGTGACACTGATGCATTCTAGAAACTTACTCTACAGTTTACTGATCTACTTTGTTAATGAAAATCAGTATCTGGTCACTTAAGTGCTTTCCTGCAAGACACACTTTTTGTTTTTGTGGGTCTCTACACCATGGATAGCAATGGAAGCACCCAAGGTTGACAACACTATCATCAATGCCCACACACTTGGCCAAGTGCCAACAATATCATGAAAGTAATGGTAGCCTGTTTATTTACCATCTCATCTATGGAGCAGCTACTAAGTGCCAGGCAGTTTTCTAGGTACTTGAGATACAGCAGTGAACAAGACATTCAAAGCCTCTAACCACATTAATCTTGTATTTATGAGGGACAAGGATAGATCAGATATATCATGGAGATTACTTCCTATAATCTCTATCACATCCCAATGGAGTATTATTATTAACCTCTTTATAACAGGTATAACAGGTATGAGATCCCAAAAGTTTAAATAATTTTCCTATGGGTCACACCATTTGATAGAGTTGGAATTTGAACCTGGTTGCCAGATCTCCAAAGTTTTAGTTTTTACTCATCTTGACACATCCACCCAACACTTAAGATCAAACAGTCAAGAAGAGGCAAGCTGAGCATGGCCACACTCAAGGGGGCAGGTAATGCCCGCATGACAAGGTCTGTTTTGGGGTACCAAATAAAACAGGGCCCCAGGAAGAAGGAAGCAGACCAACCACTGAAGCCACAAAAATCAGAGGACTGAAAAATTCAAGCATTTTAATTACATAACTTTTTAAACAAAGTGCATAAAATTGCTCTAAAAAGAGAAACATCAAACAATTCTGGTTTTAATCTGTTTTCCCTTTGCGACGCAGCTCTTGATCTGAACGGGAAAAAGGGCTGATGTAATTAAAAGGCATGGATTGCATTACAATCTCAGTTTCAACTTCAGTGATTAAAGTTTTTATAATGCAGTTGGTATGATTAATGACTCACTGTGGGATTAATACAAGACTCAGCCTTAAAAATATGAACTTTAATACAGCAAACATAATTTGTTTAAAGTAAGACAAGTTGACTCAATGAAGAAAATGTACTTGGCATATAGACAACAAAAATCTGTTCAAATATTGGGAATCCTTATTCTTTTTAAACTGAGACACCCAGACAAAAGCTTCCTTGATTTAGAATATTTGTTAGTTATCCTAAAATTGGTCTCCAACTATATAATTTGTATCTCAGCTAATTAAAACAACAACCATTCAGGTTTGAAAGAAAGGCCATGAGGACTTTTGTGACCCTAATGTTTTATTCTTTAATAACATACACAGTAAATTGGGGGGAAAATCAAATCCCAGTTTATAGTATATTAGAAACAAAATCCACTCACTGAGCATGCTCAGACAAGGTACACGAAAAGAGGCATGAATAATGCTTTCGAGCCCTGTTTCTGGCAGTGGGCCAGCCATGAAGATCAACATAGCCCATGGGGAATAGTCATCTTCAGATCCCATTACAAACTGAGTTTAAACATGTTACAGCTGCTAAAACTGGAAACTGTGCTCTCTATGTAGACGCACTGAAATAATAGACGGCTGCCAAATACCTGCTTCCCACCGTAATATTACAGTTAATGTTTAGATAATAAAAAGCATAACTAAGCAGAAGAGAGAAAAAAGCAATCTTGCTCATACTTGAATTTATTCTGTCTCATGTGTAAAGTCCCTGACTTTCTCCCCCAATTCCTTTTATCTGCGTTGTTCTGCCAAGGACTTTATCCCCTTCAGTATCGGCAGGTTGGGGAATTTTGTCCAGGAGCAAAAATGCATTGAATATTTTAAACTGGAAAAATATTTTAAATTGATTTTAATGAAAACATATTTTATTGTTGGGACAGATAGTTTTGTTTTACTTTTGTTTTGCTGCCATGGAAACCTAAGGAGCTCAGAAGCCTGGGCATTCCAACTATTACCCATTGTTGGTACCACCCTTCCCCCAGCTCCATTCTCTAATTGAGATAGTGACATCATGACAGACCCTCTTTCCTTAGAAGGAGGAGTGTGGGGAGGGTACGAGGAAAAGCAGAGAACTGGGTTGGGGAGATACCAAATGGGCCCCAGAGGAGCCCTCACCCTGCGATCTGAAACGCTTGGGTCAACTCAGTTCTTTAGATGGGTACCAAAGAATCTTAAATTTTGTAAGTTCATGAGGCAGGGCAACATTTTCATTTTAGTTCTTCCACCCCCACCCCCTTTTCTTCTTTTCTTTCTTTTTCTCTTTCTCCTTTTCACTCAACTCAGCAGCTGGCGGGCGATAGTAATAAAAAAAAATGCATTTCACTTTGCTGGTCAAAGGCCTAAAGCCAGAAGCAGGAAATCTGGAATTAAATGTTTCTTGTATCTGGAAAGAGGCATGACTAAGGTAAAACTGAATCCAAACATAAGCCCTGCTTGTTCAAAGCTGAGAGAGAGACAGAGAGACAGAGAGAGAGAGAGAGAGAGAGAGAGAGAGAGAGAGAGAGTATAAAGGTCAACTGAATATTTTTTTCCCTGCTAAATCATTGAAAGATAATTATAGTGGCTAAGGAAAAAAAGACTCCCAAAATAAAACAAGAAAGGCAGCAGTTAAAAGGAAACAAATAGAACTATGACCAGCTAAGCTCTGAAGAACAGGGCAGAAACAATTGCTGTTTCATAGAGTGATTTCCGTTTGGTGCAATTTTCACTGAATGTTTTTTCAGTTATCCTGCCACGGTACAACACAATTACCCTACAGGATATGATCTTATCATTTGATTATTAGAAGTTTTACAGTACAAGAGGACGAATGCTATTACAGGTTTCTGAACGTTTCAATGTTCAGTGTACATGTGGTACCATTAAAAACAGGTTAGCTAATAGAAGGTCAGCGTTGCCCAGTGCAGGAAGCTGAGTAGGCTTGCATTACATAAAGAATTTGTATAATGCAACATGCCCATGCCTTGTGAGTGATTATTCCTCAAATATTTGTAGTACAACAAAGATTTAATCAGTTTCTAGACTGTACAGATAAAAAGCAAAAATGTACCCAGCTCCCAAGAATTCATTACACAGGAAAAATATTTTTCAATGGGCTGCAACTCTTAGGAACGCAGACTGGGTATTAGGTGGGCGGAAGTAGTGGGGAAAAGAAGTAATATATCCATTAGTAAATCCAGAGAAAAATTTCCCCCTCTTGATCTACATCAGGTCTGGGGATTGAAAGCTGGATAGATAAATGAGTCTTTATTATTACCCAGATTTCACATTTCAGATTAGCAAAATGCTTATTTATGGTGCCATTAATGGATCTGAAATAGGTAAGCCATCATGTATTAAAAAATAACATCTTTTCATAGGCATAAGATTTGTAGCAGCATGAGATTTTATTTTTCACTAGGAATAATACAAGAATAACATTTTCCACCCCAAAGCAGAAACAGTAGGGGATCCTTTTGCTATCACGGAGATTCTTATTAAATTCAGTCACTGTGAAAAGCAAGATTTTTTTTTCCATCTCATTCTTCTTCTTCTTTTTAAATAAAGAAGACTTAAAAATCAACCCAAGTTAAAATTAACAAATCAATGGCATTATAACTTTGATTTATTAGTGTCTGAGCCAGTAAATTATCATCATATAAGAAATTGCTGGTTTGAAAAGATTTGAGCTTTGCTAAATCTGAAGTTAAATAATGGTGCTTGGTACACTAGGTTTTTAGATCTGCCTCATCTGATATTATAAAAAATTCAATACATTTCTCTACAGCAGAAGTCAGGGGTCAGCAAATCTATTACTGTAATGTAAGTAATCTGGCAACCTGCCAACTCTTTCTCCCTTTTTTTATTTTTTTAAACACCAAGGCAGATAATTTCATATTTACAAAGTCGAAAATCCTCCAGGGCCTTGCCTCTCTTTCTCAACAAAAGGCAGCAGCCTGATATTAGAGAAATGTATATTACACATGTCCTCATCGTTTCCATTTCATACAAAAGAAGAAAAGACTCTTCATCTTTATTAAGCAACACTCCCATCCCCTCCCCATAAGCAGAGGAAAAATAACGTCAAATCTCATCTGAACGAGTAACACTAATGTCTCCTGTATTGATTAATGCTTGCATGGAATGACTGAACTTCGGGGCCAAAACATTTAGCAAACAGTGCTTAAGAGGAGAAATGAGAATCCATCTATTTATAGAGCTCTGAAAAATGATATTACGATAATCTCTGGAACAAATTCAATTTAGAGAGTGGGGGAAAGAGGTGGGGCATCTTTAGGGTTGTATTTGAATCTCGAGTCCATCCCAGTCCTTTGTAGTCACCTTCACGACATTAAATCAGTGAAAACTTCCAGGTCTAAATATTTGCTAGTATCTTCAAAGCAGAATATTTTAGGGGCAGAGGAAAATAAAATTGAATGGACATGTTAGGCCAAAAACGTTACTACTGTTTTTATACTATTAGAATTTTTTTGTGTGAGTGGCAGTAGAGAAGAAACGACATACTGGTTCTACTGGGGCTTTGGACCTGATGTGATCCCAAATGGACTTATTACATCTCCAA